AGTCTCACATAAAATAGGTCTGCGTTTAGGCTGTCTAGGGGAGAGAAGATAGTTCCGTGGTGTTGTAAGGGCTTTAGATTCTTTTCTGCTCTCCTTCGTCCTGCTGCACATGACTTCTGTCTCAAGGTTATCTCAAAGTCCAAAATGATGGTTAGAGTAACATTTTTGGCCCAAAGAAAAGGGCAATACCAGCTAAAAGAAAAATGAGCGTTGGATGTGAAACTAGTGGTCTTGACCCCAGAGTTCTTCAGGGATAATTTTAGAGCCGTTTAGAGTTCCCAGACTTTCATTACACTCTGACCCTTAAAAGAAAATGTCTTTAAAAAGAACTAATTATACCATCATAATGTTGACTGTTATTTGCTGACATAGTTTTTTTATTTAAACTTAGCTATTTTCACTTGTCATCAAGAGAAATAAAGTATGTCTAACTTTTCAAGAGCCTATTGTATCTAGCTAAGGTAATGTTACTATGTTCTCGTTCAGTGGTTCTCAACCTTCCTGATGCCGGGACCCTGAAATACAGTTCCTCATGTTGTGGTGACCCCTCCCCCAACCATAAGATTTCCATTGCTACTTCTTAACAGTAATTTTGCTACTGTTATGAATCTGGCATCCCTGTGAAAGGGTCTTTTGACTCCCAAAGGGGTCGCAACCCACAAGTTGAGAACCGCTACTCTAGTTGAAAGGTGCGCACGCAGTTGTTAAAGGTAGATTTTTCTTTTATATATATTCACACACATTTTAAATTATGAGAAATATGTATTCTGTATCACTGTTTTTATATATTGCCTTTTAATAGTTGATGACTCTTGGCTTACTTATTTTTGGCAGTTCTTGATAACTTGTTTTTAAAAAGAACTTGTTTTATGAGAGTTTATTTTGCCAATTTCTGTGGCCATAAAGTTTTAAATATTTTTTTTAACATCTTTTCTTTGATGTTAGTGGGTCTATTAAACCAAGTAGTCCGTTTATCTTTTGTTTACTAGCAGCAATCTTAACAAAAGCATTTAGAAGTAAAAGCATACTTTATAAAAATGTCAGAATTTGAGAGTGTCATAACTGTTGGAGCTAAGAATAATTTTTCTTGGAAAATAGCTTTCATTTTGAAGTAGAGGTTTAAAGGAAGCAATTTCTCTGTTTCATCATAGTGGTAGCAGCATTTTATTTTTTATTTAAAGATATATAATCTAAATTTGACATTCAAATGTCTCTGAAACACATAAAAATGATAATTCAATTTGTATAGTTTAGTATTTACCTTCCAAAGGAACAAATCACCATGGAGTTGACTGAGAAAAAAGTCATCAGATAACTAGAAAGATATCTTTAAAAGTATGGTGTCAGAGAATGGTTTCAAAGCAGTTGTTTGGAATCTACGATGAGTCATGAACTACGTAGGGGGTATTAAACTCTCTTCTGAGACCTGTCTGTTCACCATTTCCTTTTCCCCGGTCCTGGTACCTAGAAACTCTCTGTTTCTGGACATGTCCAGCCTACCAGCAATGCATGAGAACATCTGTTGATCTTTATTCCAGTTTCCTTTTCGAGTCAGTAGCTGCCTAAAACACTTTTTTATTTGCCTCACAATAGATTAGTTTTGTATTTCTGGAACTTATTTTTAAGTTCGATCATAGAGAATGTGTTCTAGTTGTTTCATTCCACAGTGTGTGTGAAATCCACAGGTGTGTGAAATCCATCCATTTCTCAGCTGTCAGTAATTCATTCTTTAGTGTGTGATAATCTTATGTGTGATTATACCACTGTGGATTGTTTAGACATTTGAGTTATTTCTAGTTTTTAACGTTGAGGTTAACGTTCCTGTTAACATTATTTTATTGTTGGCAGAGAGTTGACACAGCAGAACTGGGGTTGCTCAACTCTCACATCTCTTCAGTAGGACTTGCTTGTATGGGTGCTCAACTCTTGGGATAGTTCCTACCGTACTAACTGATAAATTGTTTTCATACCGGATCAGCTTGTCCAGAATAGAAAGCATGCCTTCTGGGTGCCTATAAATATTGGAACTATGACTGGTCACTCAGACACATGTACTATATAGCCAACCCTGAGTAAATAAATAGCTAACACTCGGCATTTATTGCTCCACTTCGTTGCTCGAGAAAGAAGTACATTCTGTGTAACCCATGTGAGTGAGGACTCTGGAAGCCTGCACGTGGTTCCCTCAAACTCTGCATGTATCTGGTTTTCTTTCCGACTTCTCTTTATTCTTTCACTGTAGTAAGTCATAATAAGCATGAGTGGAACTGCCTCTGATTCTGTGAGTTCTCCTACCAAATTAGTAAATTTGTGCATTGGTTTGGGACTCATAAAAAAGTACCTATCAATAATTAAGAGTTGCTGAGTCATATGAGAAGAGTATGTTTAGCCTGATAAAAAATTACTAAGTACTAAGTAGTCTTCTACAGTGTTGCACCTTTTTACAATCCCACCAGTGTAAGTTGTTATACATTCATGTATAGCAATGCCAGGTATTGCCAGTGTCATTGCGTCAATTTTGACTCATAGTGATCCTAGAGAACAAAGAAGATTTGCTCGTGGTGTCAAGACTGTAATTGGCCCTGTGGGTTTCTGAGACTCTTTATAGGAGTAGAAAGCCTCATCTTCTTCCAGCAGAACAGCTGGTGGTTTTGAACTGTTAATCTTGTACTTAGCAACCCAATGCATAACCACTACACCATCAGGGCTCCCTTGCTTAATCTTCTGAAAGACAATAATTTTACTAAATAACTGTGGTGCCAGAAATTCAGTATGCTGAGGGTTACTGCATGGTTGCTCACTGTAAATTGATTAATGGTGACCTTTCAGTTGGTTATAAAGAGTCTCGTTTGCTCCGAGGTTTCAGCTGTACAGCGTTCAGTGGAGCTGTTGCGTAAGTGTCATCAGTTAAGTGAGAAAGAGCTGGCAAGTGTTAAGATCATGCATGCTTAAAAATTCCCTAACTCCTGCAATTACTCTAGCAGGATAAGGAATTGAGTTTTTATCTCCATACACATTACTGACAAAATACTCAGTCTATCAAAGAAATTGATCATCATCTGGTGATTACTTTATTGTCATTTTCCAAGACTGTATGCACCATATATATATTGTGGGCATTCATATAGTGCACTATGATGTACATAGGAAGTTAATATGTGGGAGCTATATGACTGGCTTGCAACAAACTGCCTAAGGTGTTTAAAAAATAATACTATACACAAATAAATATGAATACACAGATGATTTTAAAAGCAGCCTTCTTAGGTAAGTTTTCCTCCCAATGTTGTCTGTGTTTTTATTGTTATATACAATATATATTTGGTTGCTTCAATTTTAATATATATACTCTACATAAGCTAAATATTTTGACCAACTAACTACTAGTTAATATTAACTCCAGTCTAACAGTTTGTTTTTAAGTAGATAAATCATATATCCTACTGCATTCTCACCTCACTTACTGACAAAGTTAGGTTCCAAAGACCAGGTTGTGATGTGAAATTGATATTATGTGAAAATGAAGGATAACCACATCAGATCACACAATGGAGAATGGTTGCCTTATTATGTAACTGCCCAACCACTGAGCATCATGGCCAGCCCTGCTGACATTTAACTTTACCGTCATAGCCAGTGTCGTTCTTGCCATGCACTTGGTGTCCATTACTGCCTGGTGGTCTTAGTTCACAAAATAATCAGATCGTTTGTTTGTTTTTTAATTTATTAAATGTGAGGTGGCAGACAATGAACTAATAAATGAGGAGAAAACAAAATAGAACAATGCTTCCCCCCTCCTCCATGATTCTGACTCCTAGGACGGTCCTTTTGGACCTCTGCAACGTTAAATCTTCATAAGAGCAGTCAGCCTTAGCTAATGTGACTGGTCAGTTCAAACCACTGGCTTTACTTACGGTGAGGAAGGAGATGATGGTGCTAACTTTGGATCTAGTTTTACAGTTTTGATGCTTTTCTTACCTTGTATCTATTATTTTGTTTTGTATAATACCAGTTCTATCACAAGGAATAATTTAAACAAAGAATGAAGAAATGATGGGAATTGGAACGCAGGGAATCTAGGACAGATGAACCCCTCAGGACCAGGGGTGACAGTGGCGATACCAGGAGGGAA